AAAAAAAAAAAAAAAAAAAAAAGTCAAAAATTGGGTAAAAATCTGAGTCAGTCACTTAATGGCTACGTGACCTGGAAAAAGTGATTTAACTTTTTGGAAGCTAAACTTCATCCTTTTTTTTTTTTAAGAGACAGAGTCTTTCTCTAGAGCCCTGGCTGGAGTACAATGGCACAATCTCAGTTCACTGTAACCTCCATCTCCCAGGTTCAAGTGATTCTCCTGCCTCAGCCTCCCGAGTAGCTGGACTACAGGCATGTGCCACCATGTCTGGCTAATTTTTGTATTTTTTATTAGAGATGGACTTTTGTCATGTGGGCCAGGCTGGTCTCGAACTCCTGACCTCAGGTGATCCGCCTGCCTGAGCCTCCCAAAGTTCTGGGGTCACAGGCATAAGCTACTGCCCTTGGCCTTCTTCATCTTTCTTTACAGCACTGTCGTGAAGATTTACAGCCTAAACTGTATTCTCCAAAAACTGTTATCTCCAAAAAAAGAGGAAGACACTGTTCTTACCATAATCTTTCCTATTATTATAAAGACAATAAGAAAAAAAACACCAATTCTCCCCCTGGCTTTTCAGACTTTGAGACAAAATCAAATTCCTTTAATTTATATTGCCCCCCACCGCCTCCCTGCCAGCTGGAAAACCTTTCCACTGTTGGCCCAAGGACTCTCACGCCTGGCAATCCCAGTGCACTATCAATGCCACTGATTCACAGGAAACAGTGTTTGGGCTGGTGACATTTCCAGGGGAAGGACTGGGTAAACTCACCTCGACATTCAGAGAACTGGCCTGGGAGCTGAGGTTGGCGCTAGTGAGAGCAAGCGGACCCTCAAACATCTGAGCCAAGTCTTGCATAAAGGCATGATCAGGAATCCGAATGCCTACAAGCTATAAGGCAGGGGGAAGGGGATCATGAGAAAGGTTGGAAGGGGTAGAGGGTAAGTCTGATCTGGATCCTAGTGAAAGCCAAGTGGCCTGGAGTCTGGAAACACAAGAGAAAACTTGACTCACAGGCGTAAAAGGGTTTAGGTCCTTGTTGAGCTCCTCCGAGCGTTCCATCACCAGGGTCACTGGTCCTGGCAGTAGGTCTTTCAGGAGCCCCTCAGGTACTCTCACACGGCAGTATCTGGGAAACACAGGAGCATAAATCCATTCAAAATGAAGGACCACTGGTGGTCCTTTCCTAGACTCTAGGCACACGTAGGAAAGGAATCCTTCAAGTTTACAATGGAAGCCGCCTGTCTCCCTGCTTCACTTCCCTAAGAGCTTGAGCAGAAAGCAGGGCTCCAGAGGGGCACCCCTGGCTTGGCGCCTATGTGCCTCTGGTCTGAGGGACTACAACAGCTGCACCGCTGTGCTACCGTGATAGTGGGTGGCATCAAGCTCCACGTTTTATTTTCTACAAGGCATTCGCTATTAAATTAAGCTACTGTGTTTCTTTCCTTTTTTCCTGGGGGCCTCCCCGATTAGTACAAATGCGCCAAGGGTACAGGGCCCCCGCCTTTCTCGTGTGTTGCTGCCTCTCAGCAGCATGTAGTTCAGGGCCTGGGGCACGTTAAGTCCTCGGTACACACTTCCAGTTCCGGATTCCTTGGTAAGCCTGGACAAGCCCCTCCCGCTCTCTGCGCCTCAGTCTCCCAAGCCTGTCACCGGAAACCCCTCCCGCGGTGCCGCCCCCAGCGGGGCCGGGTCGGGGCGGCCTCACCTGTAGA